CCATAAAGCTGGGTGGGCATCTGCCCTTACCAGTGGAGTGCAGAAGAGGTGACTAAAACAAGCTATCATACCACCTGGGTGCTGCCATGTATGTTTCTAGCCTTGTGAAATTGCTAGGCTGTGAATACAAAGCCGCCCACAGTGATTGGATAACTAGATGATAGAGGAAGACAAGGACTCCAGTCACCACTGAAGAGCTGCTTTTCCTGTCGTTTTTCTTCAAATTTTTCTTTTTGCCTCTAGTAGTTTGATTAACATTTTTTTCAATGGCATCTCATAGTTTAGGTGGGTATAGGCAGCAGGAAAGGTTCAAGGAGGAAAATAATAAAAGTGTGTAAAATTTGGAACAGAGACTCATTAACATAGGGTTACACAATGAAACCAACGATACTTGGTTGGGTTGCTTTTTTTTTTTTTAAGATTTATTTATTTATTCATTCAGAACTGGGGTACAAGTCAAAGGTACAAGGTGGTGAGAGGCTTCACCAGAGACAGAGTGGGGAGCGGAACAGGCAGATTGACGAAGTACACTGCTGAGGGGAGCAGCAGGCCATCACTAGAGGTCTGCTTCTCCATATGGGTCACCTCCGGGGTTGGGGAACCAACTCACACTGAAGCAGCTGCTGCTAGGTTGCAGTGCTGCATACTAACTCATTGTGCCACTAGGGAGGGCTGGTTGCTTTTTTTTTTTTTTAACTGAAAGTAATTTTAACTTAAGTAGCCTATTTTCTTCACATATAGTTATGTGACTAGTGATAGTCTAATCTCATGAAAAACAAAACACGATACATACACTTATTCTCTAGTGGGATAAGGAAACTAACATCTTCTTAAAACTCACCCTTCTCAAGTAAATCAAGAATTAGGAAATTAGAATATTGCCTATCAAGCAGTATGTATATTTAAAGTACTAAAATTCTTTCTTGGGCCTGGAGTTTTTCTGTATAGAAAATGAGGTGTTTTTAAAGTTTATACACTGATGATGTTTAAAAAAATAAGATTAGGCCCTCCCTGGTGGCGCAGCAGGTTAAAGCACAGCACTAAGAAGCTTAAGCCACTTCTGCATGGGTTCGATCCCTGCCTGCCCCAGAGGAGATCCACATGGAGATCCACATGGCGTGACAGACCTCTCCTGACCCGCCCGCTGCTCCCCTCAGCATTGTACTTCATTGATCTGCCTGTTCTGCTCCCCACTCGGTTTCTGGTGAATCCTCTCACCCTCTGCATCCCTGGCCTGTACCCCAGTTCTGTATGAATAAATAAATAAATCTTTTAAAAAAAATAAGATTAAATTCATATAGTATGAATTTAATAATAGTATAAATTTAATTAGTATGCATACTAATAATAGTATGAATTTAATATAGTATAAATTCATAAATATTACCTATTTTGAAATTTACAAATCACTGGCTTTTAGGGCGTTTATAATGTGTACAACCGTTACCTCTATTTAGTTCCAAAACACCTTTTTTTAATTCCAAAGGAGACCACATTATCTATTCAGCACTTATTCCCTATTCCTCTCTCCTCCCCATTTCTGTTCATTTTCTGTGTTTGGATTTGCCTGTTCTGGATATTTCATATCAATGGAAGCTTAGACTAGGTAGCCTTTTAAGTTAACTTCTTTGACATGTAGAAAGTTTTTGAAGTGCCTGCAAGTTTTTGCGTGTATTAACAATCTTTTCCTTTTTAAGGTTAAATAATACTCCATTGTATCTGTATACCACATTTATATAATCATTCACCCACTGAATGATAAAATTACTGTGTACATTTACGTCATTGAACACCTGTTTTTAGTTATTTTAGGCATAGACCTAAGAGTTAAATTGCAGGGCCTTATGGTTATTTAGTATTTAGGTTATTTTTTAAAAAAGATTTATTTATTTATGCTTACAGAACTGGGGTACAGGCCAGAGGTGTGGTGGGTGAGAAGATTCAATAGAGACAGAATGGGGAGCAGAACAGACAGATCTACTGAAATACACTGCTGAGGAGAGTAGTGGGTGGGCCAGCAAACCTGCTGCAGTGGCTTCAGAGAGCTTCATAATGTGGACTTTAACCCATTGTGCCACTAGGGAGAGCCTGTTTTTAGGTTTTTGAAGAGTTGACAACCTGTTTTCTACAGTGGCTGTACTATTTTACTTCCACCAGCAATGTATAAGGGCTTGAATTTCTATAACCCTCACCAACAATCATTATGGTTTCAGCTTATATTTTCCTAATGACACTGATTTTGAACATCTTTTCATATGCCTGTTGGCTGTCTATGTATCTTCCTTGGATAAGTGTTGTTGTTTTTTTTTTAAATTTATTTATTTATGCATACAGAACTGGGGTACAGGCCAGACATGCAGGGGCAGTGGGAGGATTCACCAGAGACAGTGGGGAGCAGAACAGGCCGACTGCCGAAGTACACTGCAGAGGGGAACAGCGGGTAGGTCAAGAGAGGTCTGAGGTGCCATGTGGATCACCTCGGGTGGGGATTGAACTCATGCTGAAGTGGTTTTAACTTCTTAGTGCTGTGCTTTAACCCACTGGGCCACCAGGGAGGGCCCGTTTTTTGTTTGTTTGTTTTTAATACCTTTGCCCATTTTTAATTGCTCTTGCTGAGTTATAAGTGTTCATTGTATATTTTAAATATACTTAGACCCTTCTCAGGTATGTGATTAACAAATGTTTTCTCCCATTTTGGTGTTGTCTTTATAACTTGATGATTTTCTACAAACTGTCTATAATCAAGGCTAATTAGAATTTAACTTATTATATTATCATTGAGTATTTTCTACATTACCCATGTAATGAAAGATTTAAGGAGACAATGAGCTAGAGAAGGATCTGCATGACTACAGTTTTTTACATAAAGGTCATACCTAAGCACAGTTGCATCTCACAAGCCTAACCACAGTTTTTGATGAGCCATACAAACTCCTTCCAGATAATTTTTTCATGATCTAATCATTAAGCTGTTAGTGCTTGAGCCTAGAAACTGTCATCAACCTTGTTTCTTTATACATAGAAGGTGGATCGATAGCAGAAGAAATAAAACTACGTACAGTACAGGAGATGATAAAGCCTAGTGGTGTTTGAGACCTTGGTTCTAGGCAGTTCCACACTTGATTTCCAGAAATTAATATATTCCTTTTTTGCTTTAAGCTTTTTTGCATTAGATTTCTCTATACTAAATCAAGAGGCTAGCCAAGTCAGTGATGAGGACCTATCATGTTTCCACATACCCGTCATTTCTTGGGTCTACATCCTGCACGCACTCATCTCATTTTTAGTGAAACATAAGTTGTGCATTTACTGACCTCCTTGCCCAACCCCTTTCACTTATTCCCTACCTAGAGCAAAAACTAGTAGGAAAATCTGAAATTATTTCTAATAAAAGTGTTTTCTCTCACAAAATTTACACAAAAAATTGTTGGACAGCTGCCAAGAACTTGAAGTACAGCTGCATTAAGAGAATTAATTAAATATCACAACCCTGTTTGGAGCTTCTATCAGTAACTGGAATGAATGTTATAAAAAGACCATTTACTAAAAGGAATGTGTTGTGTAACCTAATGTATGCTACATGTAGGTGGTCTAAAAACTATTTTGCTGCATTCCTTCTTTTACTCATAGACTTTTAAAATACTGTCACGAAAGTGTGAATACCATTTGACAAAAGGAAGTCAGCTAAGCTCTTTATATGACATTATTTTAAATAATCTTTTTTATTTTCTAAGTAAGATTGTATGGTTAGTTAATCCATCTACCTATTGTCATTTTTGGTGGTGAAAAATGTCATGCATCCTGCCTTTCATGCAATTACCTACATTCCTTTACAATTTCCTTTTGTTGACTTTTGTTATATTTTGTATCATAGCTTTAGTAACTAGGATGTCTTTTGGGGGAAGAAAATCCCTTATTTCCGATCTTTGTCATTTACAAATTAATGTCTCAAAGTATTACATGTGCATTCCCATAATTGTTTATTTTGGTGTGGCCCATGCTGAAGATGATTTCTACTATCAAAATTATTCTGTTCTTTGATATGATCTCCTGATTTTTTTGGTTCTGTTTTCTCTGAAAATTCAGGATTTACCTGTCGGAAGTTCCGACAAAAAAAGTTATCAAAAACGTTATTGGATGGTAAATTTGACACTTTGCTAAAAAAAAATTCTAGCTTCCCTAACTTAACTTCTTAACCTACAGCTGTTTTTTCCCTCCCAACTCATTTTTCCCCATATACTATTTTTATTTAAAAAAACTTTTTTACTAAATTCATTTTATTATTTAGACATGGATTGTATCTACACTATATAGCTATGGTACCATAACAAGTTATGTTATAGCATTATTCCATTAACATGATGTTAATAAAGAACTTTCTAAGAAGTTTGACTTAACTGATGGAATGACCCTGAATTTACGGGGTCTGAAGTTCCACATCGGAGGTATCCATTGGGAAATTGTAAATTCTGGTCATGACTTTTTCCTAGGGCAGTTTCTCAGCTCTGGATCCTATAACATTTGTCTATAAATTATGCTGGTGTTTGCTACCCAGAGTTGAAATCCCTATGATTTATCATGTGCAGAGCTAATCAGTAGACTCACTGGCAATGTGTTAACTCGGGAGGAAAGGTTTTGTTATCATTTAGGATGTTTCTCATTGCATTAGCAGGATACTAAATTCTACTTGCTTAAATAGTAAGAAATATCTTACCTCCATTAACAAAAAAGAAGTTATAGGCCCCATGCAGTCAGAGCTAAAATTCTGGATCTCTGTTAGTTTAAATCATGTACTTCTCACATCTACTTTCTTTTCAGGATGCTTACTCCATCACTAGATCACTCTAGTAGTTCCAGGACTCAGATCCTAATCTGTTAGTGCTGAGAGAGAGAAGAGTGCCTACTTTCCGTTGTCAACTTTTAGCGAGAGGACATTTCTTCTGAAACCTAAATGTAGTCTTGACCAGAACTGAGTCACACACACCTGTAAATTCACTCACTGGTAAGGGCCATGGTGTTGAAGCAAACTCGATCCGCTCTGATGTGCTATGCCAGGTAGCCTTCCAGGTGGGTGTCCCTTTCACTCCCCATGGGGGCTGACAGATAACACCCAGCTGCTTATACCCCATGTTGATATCCCCCTTTCACCTCCCACTAGAGCTCCTATCACACTCAGTGAGCTGCCCTCGTTCCACAAAGACATTCTCCTCACTTGGCTTGAACTCTGACACTGTACCCATTTCTCCTCCCACCCAACCCATGAGGCTGCTCTCACAACATGCTGAGGTTCTGAATCCTGGAATAAGTTCATTCTCTGCATGGGTGCCCTCTTTACCCAGCTTGGTCTCTGGCACCTGTGTCCTCCTTCATGAAGACTGCTGACCCAGCAACAGTTTACTCCATCAAGAGTTAAAACCTTACTAAGATGTAATTTTTAGGGCAGTTTAATTAAAGAAGTATTGTTGATACAGCAAATAGCTCTGCACAAAATAAAAAAAAAAAAAAACTATGAAATTTCCCACTCACAACAAATGTGAACAAATGGGAGTTGTCAGAATAGAAAGGGATGATGGTGCTTTACGCCATTGCTACAGTACATGCCACTAATAAGTGTAGTTTTCATAAATTTAAAAAGACAGAATTATTATCTCACCAGTAATTTCTCAATTGACAGAAAGAAGAATTGAGATTTGGTGGTACTTACCAATTAGAAGTAGGAAAATAAGAATCTAGTCCTGTTTTGTTAGAAATGAATTTCTTAAAAAAAGATTTATTTATTTATGCTTACAGAGCTGGGGTAGTGGTGTGGTGGGTGAGAGGGTTCACCAGAGACAGAGTGAGGAGCAGAACAGGCAGATCTACTGAAATATACTGCTGAGGTGAGCAGCGGGTGTGTCAGAAGAGGTCTACCACGCCATGTGGGTCACCTCCCTGGCTGGGGATCAAACTCGTGCTGCTGTGGCTTTGGAGAGCTTCATAGTGCGATGCTTTGACCCATTGCACCACAAGGGAAGGCCCAGAAATGAATTTTAAAAAGAGTAAAATTTTAAATTCAATGCCACAATAGTTCTGGTCTGTCTCTATCATAATGGCATTGCGCTTGCCACGAGAAGACAACCATCATACATGTTTTCTGCTGTGTTACTAGCAACATTTCCACAAAAGACACATTGCACAGCTGGAACCACTGAGGTACAGACTTAAGTAACTGGCCCAGAGTCAATTAGTCATTAAGAGAGACAGGCAGGACTCGCTCCATGTGGTTTGGCTTCCAGACCTTTATTTTTCATAGGATGTAATGATCTGGGTATGGGTTTGGGGTGGAGATATGGTACTGCAGCATCCTCTTCCAGGAGAAAACTGGGAAATAACTAAAGGGAGAAATGAATTATGAATCCTCTAACCTGTGCAGTTAAAAAGCTATTTAAGAGTGATACAGTAGGGCCTTCCCTGGTGGCTCAAAGTGTTAGGGTGCAGCACTGTAGGCTGGCTGCAGCTGCTTCAGTGCGAGCTCGATCCCCACCCCAGAGGTGGCCCACATGGTGCAGCAGACCTCTCCGACCCACCCACTGCACCCCTCAGCAGTGTGCTTCATTGATCTGCCTGTTCTGCTCCCCACTCTGTCTCTGGTGAAGCCTCTCACGGCCCCTGCACCTCTGGCTTGTACCGCAGTTCTGTAGGAATAAATACATCTTTAAAATAAATAAATAAATAAATAATATAAATCTTAAAAAAAAATGATGCAATGAGCTCACATTTACTGGTGGGAAGAGATTTTAATTTATCATACTATGCTATAAAAACAGTCAGGCCTAATTTCAGATTTTATAAACCTATCAGTGCTTGAAACAAGACTGGAGAGATTTTAGGCAATTGGTCACAGTGTCAATCTGATGAGAAAGTAGAATTTGAGGTTCGGAAGAGGAATGTCAGAAGATAGATGTATGCTAACACAGTGTGGGGAAAAAAGATCAAAGCAGCCAGCTGAAGGGGGGGAGGGGCATGCAGCCAGAGGAGAGAGGTGAAGCCTACTGACCTCCACCACTGGGACATTCCCTGTGCTACTTGCCTTCCAATGAGTACTAGTGGGCTTCCCTGCTGGATTCAAACTGCATAATGACCAGTACTGTCTCCTTGCAGCCAAGAACCTGGGCCCGTTATCAAAGGAGGACTCTGCCTGGCCTCAGTGGTCATTACCAACTGGTGACAGAGTCAAATGGGTTGCTGGAAAGGTCTTGTGGCCTAGTGAAGAGGGAAGGTACCCGGGCCTGGGGTTCCTATTGCTGCACTGTGAGGATGACCTCAGGGTGGGAGAAGACAGCCCCCTGCCCACCCAAGATGACATAGTGGTTCTCCTCATATGGTTTTATTTTTTGGAAAATTAATTACTGGGTTTCAATGGTCCTGAGCATTTTCCTAAATTAATCTGTCTGTTTAGCAAATGTCAAAGACTTTGGGGGTGAAATTTGGTGACTTACAGAAGTTACAAGTATACTGAAATTAAAAAAGAAATTATCTTATGAAGAAAAAAACCCAACTGGAGGTTTTTTTTTTTACATTAAATTAATAGAGTAATTTTGAAAAAATTCAGAGCACTATAAATGATTGAGACCTGCCATTCATGAGAATACTATTATTGATTTATGCAGAAGCATAAATATCATTCTGATTTATTGAGATCAGTGTGGTAGAAGGCAAAGCAAACTTCTTTGCCTTCCTTATTCATTTTTTTTTTAAATTCCAAAATTTCAAAAATTTTGGAAGAATGACCTTGCTATTTGTGGCTTAAATATGTGATATTATTGGTCACAGTGTATGAAAGGATTTGCTCTTGGTCTTAATTGGGTTAAGACTTCTGGAGAAATCTGAGGAAGTGCAGAGAACATCATGGCAATACAATTGGTGAATCATTTCACTAAAGTTTCTTGGTGATTTTTGAAATGATTGATAGTGAGTTTGCTATAGTCACTTTGATACATGATAATACTACTCTCAGCTCTGTTCTTTCTGCCTATTTGCACTTCTCACAGAGTTTTATTTGGCCTCAACTAGTTAAGCTATATGATTATAGGCACTATTTTAAGTTTGTGCTGGGTCAGGTGAGGGCAAGTAACCAAAGTTACTAATAACAACAGGAGGACAAAATGAGGTTTAGGAGTCAAAGTTCTTGTAGGACCTCCCAGCAAAGATTACTGTTGACAAACATAGTATTTCTGCTTAGCCAGATACGAAGCCAGCACTGTAGTTTGGGCCAGCTTCTCCTCTCTACCACTCTAATCTGAGGATTAAAAGCTCTCCTATGCTAGCAAATATTTAAAAGTCAAAATCAGATTAATAGACTCATATTGTAAAGACCAATACAAACAGGCAAAGCCTGAAGTATGAAAGATTGGGAAAACACTGGAATGGAGAAGGGGCAAGGACAGAATTGCACACACAGTGGAGAGATCCAGCTCCTCTGTTGGGGTGACCCACTAGTGGACAGTAAGACTGCACAGGGAAGAAATAGAAGACAGCATGTGACAAGTTGAAATTGAAAAAATAAACAATGAAAACAAAATTTTAGCAAAATTGCTTATATATTTATTCTTGTTAGATAACAGATGTTGGCTTCATTATAATTTATCTAGACAAAGAATGTCGTTCATTTATGAGGAAAAAAGTCCAAGTGGTTGAATGCCTCATAAAAATGGCACATTTTAGGGAAAAGTTCATCTTGATGTTTTATCTTGATAGTTTATTTCACTATCATTCCAGGATGTTAGGTGTAAATGTGTCAAAACATACAAAATACATAAGTTAGTATGTGGGTTGGTGCACACCCACTTCTGGTTTTGCTTGCTTTCCCTTTCTGCCCCTAATATCATTTTTTACCCCCCCTCCCATTCTTTTTTTTTTTTTCCTTATTTTTTGCTACTTCTGCATTTCTTCAGTCTTCTGCCTGTCGCAGCCACTCCCACCTCCACGTTGACATACTGGGCCATCCTTTCCCCAACCCTTACTCATTTATTCCCCTTTATCAATATCACCCCTTCTTGCAATTTGCGTCTATTCTCTCATCTTGAATTCTTGCCTTTGTTAGGAGGCATTTCCTAAACGGTATGACCTCATTTCTCTGTTGCCTCCACAAGACCCCCTGGGAAGCTTGAAGCTGATGCCAAATTTCTGTAGGACTCCATGCAGTGACTTACCTCATGAAGTTTTGTTTATCATTTCCAAGAAATGAGTCACTTGAGCCTCTATGTTTAGGGAAAACTCCCGCTTGCCTAAGGAGGCTGACTGAGCGGTGGAATGCTCCCTGAACCTGAAGTCTGCAAATGCAATTGAGAGTTTCATTATTTCCTCTCCTTGATCTTATTGCTTTGGATCCAGTAGACCATCTCCTTGTTCTGTCTGTTGCCACTAAAGACTGCGCCAGAAATCTGCCTGGGCATGATTCCCTTGATGCCTTTTTTTTTTTTTAAATCTCTTGTAGTAGGGAAAATGGCAAGTTTTCAGGTAGTAGAGATTGGTGGTGGCTCCCATGTTCATTCTGCCTGTTTCTCACCCTTTGATGCACTAGGACCTCCTGTTTTCTATTCTCTTCCCCCTCCCTTGTTAAATAAAGACTGGTGGGGGGAGGTAGGAGAAAGAGTACAAAACCTCTCAGTCTCTAGAAGGGGAAAATTATTGGCAAACAATTTTTCACTACTAGAAGGTTATTGTAAATTTTTAAATAAATGACAGAGTTGCTTTTTTAACGCTATACGCAAGAAATTTTGTTTTGGCCAGTTGCAAATAAATAAAAAAGTTTCTTATTCAAGTTACTGGTTGAAAACACTATAGGTTTCAAGAGCACAGCATTGTAATTTGACATCTATATTGTAATTTGACATCATGAGACCCACCAAAAGTCTAGCTGCCATCCACCACCATGCGCTGCTCCCCTTGACCCGTCATCCCCACCCTTCCCCTTTGGCTTGTAACAACCACCATTTTGATCTGATAATATAAGATAAGCTGCAAAAAATTAATTTATTTTTCTCAAAACAGGGTTAAATATGTTACTGTTCAGTATAAAATTTCTTATATATAAATTCTTATTCAAATACTTTGTATTTTATTCTCACTGTTATGACATCAAGCTGAC